ATAAAAAACTTTGAATTTTATTGAAAGCAAAAAAAATTTTTTGATAGAAAAATTGGGAAAGACAAAGAAAAATTATTTAGTAATATTTTAATTGGAAACCTGGATAAGAAAAGGCTGTGGCCAATATACCAGCAAGGGGAAAAATAATATTTTAAATTTGGTATTTTTAAAACGTTTTAACATTTTAATTTCATAGGTTTTTTAAAAGGACCACAAGTTTTTGGGGACACATACATAGTTCATTATGTAATTTAACCTAGAACAAATATGGGCTTGTTTTGGAATAAATGGTTAAAATACCGAACAGTGGAAAAAAACACTAACAAAAAATGTACCCTTTTTTAACAACGTTTCGCGCACCAGGGGCTTTTTCAATGGGTTTGTTTTTTGTTGGGCCCATAGAGGGTCCAAAACTGAAGGGAGAAAATTCCACATAAAAACTGATTAAAAAGTAGCGGGACATGGTATAGGGTAAAATTTCTCCTAGGTCGAGGCATGGTTGACCCGTGGTATGGCTGAGCTGGCAACAGAGTTAAATGAGGGAGCTCAAATGTAGAATCGTTACAAGTGTGTAGCTCAGGAGTCATGCTGACTCTTATTCACACACATATAAACAACATTGGAGGAATAAATAGCAAATAAATGTGCCGATGACACTAAAACAGCTTTCAGAAATTTTGATGACACTAGAAAATACAGAATGACCTGGATAGCTTTGGCAGATCATTCAATGCAGAAAGTTAAAGGGTTTTAATCCTGGGAAAAAGGAACCCAAATATACCCTTATCAACTTAATAATGTAGAGCTTAGGCATAAAAATGAGAAATTTTAATGCCAAACAACAGTTTTCAAGTATCTGCACTAAAGCAAGAAAAATTTTTGCTTATATGAAGGCCTTAAACCGTTTATATAAAAAATATTTTGGGTTTAAATCTTTTTTAGATTATGGTGCCAGTTCTGGTCTCCCCTATTTCAGGATGGATATTTAAAAAAACGGAAAACAAAAAATTCAAGAAGTGTGAAAAAGTTGATTCATGCAGAAAAAGTCTCTCAGGAAGATAGGGTGAAGGTATTAAACTGACACTCTGGAAAACGTAGAATTAGGGAAGATTACTGAATGTACAAATGAAAAAAAAAAAAAGTATAACTAAAGCTTTTGAAAAAAATCTATCCCGGGGCAGGGCGTAGAGTGGGTTTAAAATTAACAAATTTAAGTTTAGTAATTTATTTTTATTTTTTTATTAAATTTTTTATTTATTTATTTATTTTATTCAATTTGAGATACATACGAGGTACAAAAAAATCAATAAAGCAGTGCCAAAGCCACTTTTACTTCATAGATTTCGGGGTGGCTTAAAATTAACTTAAGATTAAAATAAGCAATGATGAAACAGTGATAATAACCTTATTGTAAAAAAGTAACTATAAAGCACAAGTGAGATTACAAAAACAGGTCCCTATGGTTTTCATGCATTGCTGTACATTCAGTCGTTGGAAATTGTTGGTAGTCTATTTAAAAAAAAATAAAGTTAATTGGGTTTTTGGTTTAACTTTAAGTGATTAATTGTGAGAAACATTTAAGAAATACAATTAAAGGTTGATTATTCAGTATTTATTTGGTTTTGGTGAGTAAGTGATCTTTGGAAGAACTTGAATTTAAACAGGGAGTGTTTCTTTTAATTACAGGTAATGAATTCCAATTTTTTGGGCCTTTTATGTGCATTGAGTTTTTGCATATGTGAATGGAACGAGGGGAAAATCAAAGTGATCTGGCCTTTGTTATGGGCTTTTTTTCTTTGAGGTTGGCAAGGGGGTTTTGGGGGGGGGGTTAATATCAGGGGTTAAAGGGTTTTATGTATGAAAAAGGTGCGTAATAATATGGATTTTTTTGTATGGTGAGTAGGTTTGGTATTGAATATTGGTGGATGTCTGCCTGTAGGAGAATTTGTTTCTTCAACTGCAGCCTTTTGTTGGGTAATCAGTGGTCTGAGTGGTTAATTGTTGTTTAGCCCCATGCACAAATTCCCTAGGTGAAAAAGGGGTAAATAAAAGAGTGATATAGGGCCAGGAGTGCTGACTGTGGAACATAGTACCGTATCTTCGATATATGCCTACAGTAGGAAATTTCTAAAATTTGTTGAAATTTTGTATGAAATTTGAGTCTATTTCAAGGTGGATTCCTAAAAATTTTTCCCCGTTTGCTTTGTGATAGGTGATCCCTTTTCATTATTTAAGAGGACATTGTAGCTCTGTTACCAAACTAATGAAAATAGGTTTTGTCCCAAAGTTTAGTGAAAATTTTTGTCCCATCCAGGTAGATATTTTCTGTAATTCGGGATTTACATAAGGCTACGTGACGGGCTCGGGGGGAGAGAAACTATGTAGTGCCTCTGCAAATAGGTGGGTTTTAGTAATTGCGAAGCATTTGGAAGGTCATTTATGTATGGAGAAATAAAAAGGGCCAAGGACCTTCCCTGCGGGAACCCAAATGTAATTTTTTTGCGCAAAGAGCTTGCCCCCTTTTTGGGACCATATTGGTTCTGTGCTGAGGGAAAACTTGAGGTTTTGAGGAGTGCCCTCTTTTCCATATGTGACAATTTTCGTGGGCAATCATGTCAACTGTAAAAAAGCTTTCGAAAATCAATAAGATCCCCAGTGGGGCTTCTTTTTTCTCTATTTCAGTGTTATTGTTCTAGCATTGTTTAAAAGCTCAATTTTTTTTATTAGCCGAATCCAAATTGGGAGGGGTTTGAGATGTTTTTTTGGGGATAAGGTAGGGTAGATTCGTTTTTGAATTAAATTTTTCGAAGATTTTTGAAGGGGGGTGTAAGTGGATATTGGGCCCATAGTTTTAAATTCAACTCCTCCCTTGGATCGGGGGGACCCCTTCTATTTTGATACGTGGGAAGGGGGAGGATTCTATGGATTGTTAAAGATGTTGCAAAGATTTTGGGGATAGACTTGTGACAGTTTTTTGTATATAAAGGGGGGTAAGTTTTTTAAATCTCCCGCCTTTTTTTAGTGCGTTGATAAAAGGGAGACTGTATGGGTTTTCGGAGAGGGAAAAGTGTGTTTCGGGAGTTGCCGGTGGGTAGTCATTTGGTGGGGGATCTAGTTGGGGTTTTATTGGCAAGTTTTGCCTTTTAAATGGAGAAGAAACATTTAGTTGTTGCCCTTTTCTGTTGGGGGGAGTTGGGGTTTTATCTGATTTTGCTAATTTTATTTCGCTATTTCGTGTATCTTTTTTGTTCCCGAATTTTTGAAGGGTTTTCCAGGTCTTTTTTATAAACCTCGAATTGGTTTAAACTGTTTCCATAATACAATTTTTTTGCCCTTTTACAGGCTGGGAAAGGGTTTTCGAGTAAAATTTTGTTTGGTCCCCCCCGTTATGGACCCCTTTAGTACTTTTTTCAATTGGTGTTTTGTATTTATGGTTTTGAAAATGCTGGGGTTACCCCGGGACTGTTCAGTCTCTTACTGTCATCTGTTTATTTTTTTGGGGCTCTTGTTATAGAGGTATTGGGTCTTTTTTAGAAAATTATTAATACTTCGTAAAATACTGTATAATTTCTTGCTCAGTGTCCCAATAAATGTTTCTACTGCTGTGTAAGTTATTTAAGGGCTGCCTCATTGTGAAGTCTGAAGGTGACTTTAGTAGTGCCTTGGGGTATTTAAACCAGAGTTTTATGAGGAAAGGGGGTAGTGGTCTGTGGTATTATCTTTAATTATCCTGTTTTTTTTTAAAGGGGGATATTGTTTGGGTCCAATTGGTCAAAGGGAAACACTATCTCTGTAACTCTTGTAGGTTTGTTACTTTTGGTAGTAACATACAGTTACTCATTGGTTTTGTAAATTCAGTAACGTTGGGTCCGGTCTTGCAGGAGATTTATTGAATCACCCTGAGATAGAAGTGATCTTTGTTCATGCGGCATCATTTTATCTACTTCCTAGGTTTTAAACTAAATTGGCTAATGTTTGACTGTGGAACCTGTAGATGTTTATAAATGGAAGTTTAGTAGGATTTGATTTGAATTTAGCTATTTATATTCCCCATGTTCATCCCTTGTCAAGTATTAGTGATACTTCTATTTGGGCTGAGTAGTAATGGCGTGCCACCCCCTTGTTGGTCGGGCCCTACAGTTGTGTATGGCTTGTAATGAATGGAAAAAATTTCCCAAAGCATTACTGAGCAAAAAACTTTGGGGTAACTTTGATATACGTTGGAATTTTATGGTTGGGGCTGTGGGTGAGTTGAATTCGCGTAGCAGGGGCCAAAAAAACCAAACGCAGTGTTCTTTCTTGTTTCTTGTTGTTTCATAGGAAGAATCCTGCAGGGGCGTCTCCACTACATGTACCTTAACCCACTGGTTCCACGGCTCATGAACAAATTTGGGACTGTGTGAAAAAAAAAGGCCTGTATAAAGTCTGACTGAAAACAGCTGTGATAAGTGGACTGAAAAAATTCAGGCTGTGATGAAGTTGGGCTGAAAATTCAGGGTGTGATGAAGTTGACTGAAAAATTCAGGCTGTACCACCTATTTGACTCACCTATTTGGTTGAGGGGTCATCTTAGCTCCGGCCCCGCCCCCTTCACCGGGTTTCACGTGAAAGTGTGACTGAAAAACAACCTGGTATAAGTTTCCGGAAAAATCAACCTGGTTTATAAGTGTGACGGGAAACTCAACCTGTGTGGGTGAATGTGACTGGAAACTCAACCTGTGTGATGAAGTGTGACTGGAAACTCAACCTGTGTGATGAAGTGTGACTGGAAACTTAACCGGTACGATAGAGTAACTGGAAACCCAGGTGTGATGGAGTAACAAACAGGAAGTGATAATATGTTGTGGAATAACAGGGGTACGATGCTGCATGATAGGTGTTAGCTAAAAATGAGCAGTAGCTACCTTTTAATCTAACCTTGTAAAAGTGTCAATAAATATTTGTTATTAAAAGATAAAGAAATATGCAAATAAGTGTAAAGTGGCATTGTGTGTGGACAGCGGGTGGTGGTGGTGGGTGCTGAGGGAGACCAGTATCCTCCTGATGGAGCACAAGGAAACAGTGGTTCGTATAGTCTCCCCATCAGCGAGAGAGACACAACTTCTCCAGGAGATATTAAGGCCCCTTCCAGAGGACGAGGAACATCATGAAGAAGATACAAAATTCCTCACTTTCCTTCCCTGTTACCCAGACATTAACAAGACCATCAACAACCTCAAGCAGGTTAGACTTCTCTCTACTCAACTCTCCCCAAAATAATAAAACTTTCTTAAATTTTTCACTTTTTCTCTTGTATTTAAGATGTATATTTCTTTGTAACTTGAATAATTAGTCATTAGTTAAAATAATTTATTATTTTCTCTCAGTACTGCAGTCTATTTAGGATCAAAAACTTTTACCACAAACATAATTTATTGTTTTGCAATAGTTATATCTTACTTATACTTTTAATTTCTCAGCAAAATCCTACATGACTACTTTCTGAGAAATATTTTTATCCATTAATATTCAAATAATTTACAGTAACGTTTTGAGCCAAAATAAATTTCTTAATGTATTAGTATATACAAGTCTGTTTAATTTTTATCAACTATTTAACAAGTTATTTTTTATTTTATTAATAATAAACATTTATCTTCTGTGGTTTCAAGTTTTGTTACAATAATTTTTACAATGCAAAAAATAATTGGTGATTCTCACCAACGTTTAAATATTTTGTAACAGCATAAACTACTGATTTTTATCTTCATAGGGGGGGGCGCAAATTTAATTCCTTCCTCATAGAGTAATTTTCTAGGAAAACCAAATCAAATATAGTTTAATTTTTTATATCCATTAATAGGTCTTCAACGCATACATTTATAATATATACATACACACACAGATATATATATATATATTATTTTTATTTTATTTTTATTTAATCACACTGGCCGATTCCCACCAGGCAGGTGGCCCGAAAAAGAAAAACTTTCACCATCATTCACTCCATCACTGTCCTTGCCAGAAGGGAGCTTTACACAACAGTTTTTTAAAACTGCAACATTACACCCTCCTTCAGAGTGCAGGCACTGTACTTCCCATCTCCAGGACTCAAGTCCGGCCTGCCGGTTTCCTGAATCCCTTCATAAATGTTACTACTTTGCTCACACTCCAACAGCACGTCAAGTATTAAAAACCATTTGACCTCCATTCACTCCTATCAAACACCGCGCACGCATGCCTGCTGAAGTCCAACCCCACGCACACAAAACCTCCTTTACCCCCTCCCCTCCAACCCTTCTAGGCCGACCCCTACCCCGCCTTCCCTTCCACTACAGACTGATACACTCATTAAGTCATTTCTGTTTCGCTCCATTCTCTCTACATGGCGCGAACCACCTCAACAACCCTTCCTCAGCCCTCTGGAACACAGTTTTGGTAATCCGCACCCCTCCTAACTTCCAAACCTACGAAATTCTCTGCATATATTTCACACCACACATTGGCCCCAGACATGACAGCTCCACTGCCTCCAGCCTTCTCCTCGCTGCAACATTCATCACCCATGCTTCACACCATATAAGAGCGTTGGTAAAACTATACTCTCATACCATTCCCCTCTTTGCCTCCAAGGAACAAAGTTCTTTGTCTCCACAGACCTCTAGAACTATATATATATATATATATTATATATATATATATATATAATGGCAAAAAAAAAACAAATCACATTTAAAAAAAAAAAAAAAAAATCATAGTAAACAGGTGATTTCAGAATATGCAAAACAACCACTGTGAAAGAATAGAGAAGTTCCAAGCGATTTCGTGACTACTTACATTATCAAGGAACAATGAAAGTAAAGTTGTTAAGATTCGCCGGTATTCTCCCGGCCCGGGCCCTTCCAAGTGGGGGCCCGGCACTGGCTCCCTGTCTAGGGAGTGTCTGAGACCTAAGTCTCCAATGGGAGGAGGCACAAGTACCCCCCTCATTTTGTGAGCTACAAACTCGGGCTCTGGCACCAACCCTGCCCTAGAAGGGCAAGGCATGGTGTCGATCGTGCTAGCGCTGTGCTCTCCTGTGTGGAGTGTCGTGTGTTGGTGTTCATTTTCATTCATTCATGTTGATTCGCCGGTACTTCCGGTCCAGGTCTTCTCCAGATGGTGACCCGGCAGTGGCCCCCCAGGTGGGGGGTGACGATCATCTTCTTTCTTGGCCCTCCGGTTGGAGGGTGTCGTCTTCTTCTATCTTGCACTGACTTCCCCGAAGAGAAGCGCAGTCTGGCAGAGGCAGCAGTTACAGGGTCGATTGGAGCCACACCCCAGCTTTAGCGGACAGCAAAGTGCTGGGGAAACTTATCTTCATGGTGAATGGTCATGGATAGTCGTGCTAGAGGAGGGTACCGTCTTCAAGGTCATCATTCTGAAGCATCCTGAATTTCCTCTTTGAGGTTTACTCGACTTCCACAAGGTGTTGGGTGTTGGCAGTGAGTAGTCTGGTCATGTCTGCAGTGGTGTATGTAACAGTTTGGTCGTAGGTATACCTGACTGTTCCGTCCTGGAGGTGCTGATGGATTTCTGAAGACAGCATTGTGTTCTTATACTGCTTGGTTGTGTAGAAGTATACACCCTTCAGGTATCGGACTTGTTGTGGTGCAGCAGTGTCAATGGCACCGTGAGGTGCATCCGCAGTTTCTTGTGTTTTTGCTTTCTTGGCTGGTGGCTGAACTGGTGAAGGCGAGATTTCCGACTGGCCAGTTGCTCTAGCAGTGGATGCAAGTGGTAGTCGACTCTCATTAGTGGGGTTTGCCGACGTCTCAGTGGTCTCTGATTGGTCCATCTCTGTGTCTAGTGGAGGTTGTGACAGCGGTGGAGCAGCGGTGAAGCTGGTAATATTTGCAGTAGATTTTAGGATCTCAGTGGAAGGTGGTGATGCAGGGAATATGAGGCCAGGCATATTATTTAGTTTGAAAAGTTCATTGATGGTGGTGTTGAAGGAACCAGGCTCAGCTGCATTCTGTACATGAGAATACATAATGCAATAAAGAATCTTGGTGGAGTTGGCAGTAGGTGCTGGCAGGGAAGTGGTGGGAGCAGCTTGCGTGGCATGTAGTATCTTGGTAGTGTCTGCTTGAAGCTTGGCGATAGCAGAATATGTGGTTGCTTGTGGGTTGGGTTTCTTTTTTTGTTGTTGTTGTTTCTTGAGTATGTCTTTTCTGGTAGGGCACCTGGCAGCAAGAGTATGGTGTCATTCTTGCAGTTCAAGCATTTAGGTGGTGAAGCAGTAGTGCAATTCTTGAAGTCATGACCCTCACGGCCACAGGTGGAGCAGAACTTCTTGTCCTTGGTAGGACAATCATTTGTGGTGTGTAATTTATGAGTAACAATTATAGCACTGTGACATATGTTGGAATTTCTTGCTCGATGAAGGCTGGGTTGATGTGGAAGTAGTGAATTAGCCAGGCCCTCAGCGAGAGCTCTGGCTGCCATGTTGACGTCACTGAAGGTGACCTTCAGCATGGATGATCATTGGGTATTTTAGTAATGAAGTCCACCTTGGCCAAGGGTTCTTTGCTTCGATAGATGACTTGATTTCTTCAGTGGCCTGTACAGTGATAAGGTTGTCGAGTCGCTTGAGGAACACAGTTCTCCTGGCCCTCAGTGCTGCGGAAGTCAAGACAAGAAATCCCTGGTCTCGTAGAGTGGTAGTAGCAGTAGTGGTAAGTAGTTTCTCAGCCTCTGTGTCGTCTGTACAGACGACAACAAAGGCCTCCTTGAGCGATAAAATCGCATTACATTTGACTTGCAGCCTGCCACTAACCACAGCTGCAAATGCTAGTTTGGACGACTCATTGGTTGTGCCACTCGCTGGTTTGATCTTTACTCTGTTAGAGTAATGCATCGTGAGTAAGCAGTGCTCTGGTGTGTCTTGACGGACCTGGGGTAGCCCACACCTCACTATCAGATCCCACAACAACAAAACACCTAACGCGAAACAGCGGGCCCGCCGGCCGAACTAGACAGGTCCTTCTTACAACCCACCAACAAACTATTCTACCTAAGAAATAAGAAATTTTAAAAAATATTATTTGTCCAATGTATTATTAAATTCTTCCCAAATTCTATTAATTATAAATGGATCTAATTTATATAAACCAAAGGAAATAATCATATTATTGTCAAAACTGCTTTTTATGAAACAAGATTCAATTATATTCCTGTCGACCATGGACTTGCTTGATACTACTTTCTCAACTTTTTGAAAATCAATTGGATAGTTAAAATCTCTTACATGAATAAATAGAGCATTGGAATCTTGTCCAGTTCTAATGCTATATTTATGTTGTTTTAATCTTAGTTCGAGATTTTTACCAGTTTGACCGTAATAAATTTTATCGCAAATTTTACAAGGAATCTTATAGACACATCCATCAGCATTTTGGGGGGAATTCTTTATCAAAATTTTTTTTTTTACTGTATCAAGATTTTTGAATACAACTTTAATATTAAAAGTCTTAAGAAGAGAAGGCATATCAACCAAGTTTTCATGGTAAGGGAGAACCAACATATTTTTAGTTGAATAAGGCTGGTTGTTTCTTTTTGGATTGTAAAAAGTATTTCTAGCAACTTTAAAAGATTTATCAATTACATTTCTTGGGTATTTCAAATCATTACCTATTTCATAAATTTTGGATATTTCCTCATCTATGAACTCTGGACTACAAATTCGTAAAGCTCTCAAAAACATTGATGAGAAAACAGACAGTTTAACTCTGTCTTGATGGGAAGAATAATAGTGGACATAGGAACAGTTATTTGTAGGTTTTCTGTAAATTTTAAATTTGAATTCATTATTACCCTTAATAATTAAAACATCTAGAAAAGGCAATGAGTTATTTTCTTCAAATTCAACAGTAAAATTTATTGAATGGGCTAAGCTATTTAATTTGCCAAGGAAATGGTGTATATCTACATTTTTGGGCATAAGACACAAAATATCATCAACATATCTGAACCATTTAGCTCTATTAGGGGGGATTGTGTTAAGCAGCCTTGTTTCAAAAAATTCCATGTATAGGTTACTAAGAACAGGTGAAAGAGGATTTCCCATTGCCATACCAAACTTCTGAGTGTAAAACTTATCATTAAATACAAATTTTGCATCAACAATGCAAAGTTTAATAAGTTTAATGATAGTAGGAACTGGCAATGGTAAATCATAATTAACGAGTTCTTCAGATAAG